ACAGACATGCATTTTAGTCTGGGACTAAACTTAAGCCTTGTCTATGAAACCGGGAGATAATAGCTATGTTTCCATCCACCTATTTTTATGCACATTTTGGAATATCACATAAAAAACCTCTGGATGGAAATGCCAAGATGCGCATAAATACTAAAAATGCACATAAACTTATGCGCACAGTTGAGTAGGATAAACGTTTTATCCGATAAGAAAAAAACTCATCTGGGAACCAGATGAATCCTCTGCACAATATGACTTTGTTGCAGCCTAGAATTAAACTGCTGGTCTCGTCTGGCCAGAGGAGAACGGCACACTATCTCGACACACTATTTCCCTTTTTTAATAATCTGCATTGTAAAAAGCGCTATATAAGTAACTTGACTTATCAGATATGAAAATTATTATATTCAGTAGCTATGTTTCCATCCAAAGATTCTAATTAAACTTATGCGCAAAACTGGAATATCGAATAAAACATTTGCGAATAAGTTTCCATCCAACGAGTCAAAGAGAACAAAATCATCATCTCCTGGTAAACTGGCACTAAATATCACTAAGAAAACTAGGAGAAGCCACTGAATGTAATAATTTTCATATATGATAAATTACTCGCGTCTCAGAGCGAGCAGACGAAACACAATAAATGCAGTCATTGCTTTCGGAGGCGGATGCTGGGAATGCAGTCGTGTAAGACAATTATACAGAAATACTTTGACGACAGACTTTGCTCAAAAAAACTCATCTGGGAACCAGATGAATCCTCTGCACAATATGACTTTGTTGCAGCCTAGAATTAAACTGCTGGTCTCGTCTGGCCAGAGGAGAACGGCACACTATCTCGACACACTATTTCCCTTTTTTAATAATCTGCATTGTAAAAAGCGCTATATAAGTAACTTGACTTATCAGATATGAAAATTATTATATTCAGTAGCTATGTTTCCATCCAAAGATTCTAATTAAACTTATGCGCAAAACTGGAATATCGAATAAAACATTTGCGAATAAGTTTCCATCCAACGAGTCAAAGAGAACAAAATCATCATCTCCTGGTAAACTGGCACTAAATATCACTAAGAAAACTAGGAGAAGCCACTGAATGTAATAATTTTCATATATGATAAATTACTCGCGTCTCAGAGCGAGCAGACGAAACACAATAAATGCAGTCATTGCTTTCGGAGGCGGATGCTGGGAATGCAGTCGTGTAAGACAATTATACAGAAATACTTTGACGACATACTTTGCTCAGGCATTTCAAAATGACCATAATATAAAGGAATTTATTCGGTAAATGTTTCCATCGTAGTTTATGTGATGGAAACTCAAATGTGCGCATAAGTTTTTTATACACATTTTTAGAATTTATGTTCATCTTGGCGTATCCATCCAGCATTTTTTTAATGCGATAGTCCAAAATGCGCATAAAAATAGGTGGATGGAAACACAGCTAGTGGCTTCTCCTAATTTTCTTATTGATATTTAGTGCCAGTCAATCAGGAAGTGACGATTTTGTTCTCTTTGAGTCGTTGGATGGAAACGGTGCTTTATTCGCAAATGTTTTATGCGATATTCCACTTTTGCACATAAGTTAAATTCGCATCTTTGGATGGAAGCATAGCTAATGTTTTTGATGACAATGTTGGATTAGTCAGTAGTGAGTATACTGGCATGAACTCCCCATCATTTAATGATGTTTATGGCTTGTGTTCATCCATCAGGTGTTTTATGGAAACACAGACCGATCCTCCACGGTCCAGAACCTGCTGCGTCCGCCCATCGTAGCGCGGTACCTGCGGATCCTGCCTCTGGGCTGGCACACGCGCATCGCCCTACGCCTGGAGCTGCTCATGTGCATGAACAAATGCGTCACAGGTTAAGAACAGCTTTAGGTACTACAGTAAAATATGTGACCCTGTCTGTGAAATCCAGGCTAAAGTCTCAAAATCTAATTTTGAGATAACAAGCATCAAAGTTTGATTTCAACCATTAATTTCACCATGATTTCAATCTTTGACATGGCCTTACTCAGTCAATATTAAAGATCTAAAGGTTATATTTTCACAGAATGTTCTACATCTTTTTAAAGGATGATTTTATGTAGAAAACAGTAAATCACAAAAAAATGACTTTAGCTGGGTTTTCACAGGCCGGGTCACATATACTCAGATCAGTAGGTAACAGGCAATTTGAAATAATACCATATAACTGTAGCTTCTGTGTGTACAAAATAAAACAAATAACCATTTTGGGGCTAAAACAAGAAGACTGATTTATTATTATAAATGACTTGCTGATCTTTGCAAAGTTTACAAAAAAGAGGAACAGTCCATTTTGCTTTCTGAAATGATAATTGAATAAATTCCATATTGATTTATTAATTAAGTCAGAAAACATGTGAACAACCATTGAGCTTCCTAGTAACTGCATTTAAAACTGTCAAAATTCATTACCACAGATAAAGGCTGTAAACTAGCTAGCTAGCTCTGCTAGCGGCTGTTTCTGACTCAGCACAACCACCAAAATAAACTACTATTATCTAATAAATGGCTGTAAATATAACCAGAAGAAGACTCGCACACTGGTGTTAATGTAATTCACGTGTCTTTTTGAAAAAATTCCATGTTAGAGAGACATTAGCAATTTAATTAACACATAAAGAGACTCGGTGTTGAGCTAATCAGGTATAAAACAAAATGGAAAATCCTGTCTTAAAATTACTAATCGCCCAGCTAACAATTTTTGATTCCCAAAATTTAGGTTATCACAACTTTCTGGGGAGGTTAGTTTTTATTTAAAAAAAAAATATATATATATTGCCTTTTATTAAATGATACAGTATAGAGAGAAGGAAATTATTTGGAAACGAGAAGGGGAAAGGAGAGCAGGACCTGATGCAGGTCAGACTTCAACCTGTGCCCCAGTTGGAGCTCCAGTGTGTTCTTTCTTTCTTTCTTTCTTTCTTTCTTTCTTTCTTTGCTGTTATTGTCATTATTAATCATTCATTTAATGTGACCAAAATTACTTAATAAATAAATACAAATAGTAAATAAAAAATACACTACCATTCAATCCAACTTCCATCTGTCTGTCTGTCTGTTTGTTTGTTTGTTTGTTTGTTTGTTTGGGAAAGTTAATTTTTGATTCCAAGAATGTTCTTATATGATTTTCAAAATAAATAACCAAATAGGAACCATATGGGAACGTTGTTTTTGATGGTGCCGACCTAGTAACTGCTATTGATACTGAAATAAGTCATTTCAAATAAGACATAATAACAAGCTTTAGCATGTGCTAACATCAAGGGTGTAGGAGATTATAGGCAATGCTAAAATTAGCTTTGCAATTGTTCAGTGTTCAATGAAGACGTCTGCTAGCAAAAAAAAAATCAACCATTCTATGCAATGCTAGCATTTGCTCTCCTCGTGTAGAGTTTTAAACAAAATATTTTTAAGACAGAAAAACATTCAAGTGCACCACTAAAGGACAGTCAGTTCACGTTTGATTTTGTTTGATTTGGTTTTATTTATTCATGGATTCTTTTAAAACAGACAGTCTTACGGTTATTCAAATGAGCTCATTAGCATCTCAACTCCTCCCTGCAGCTGAAGAGCACATGAATATAGAGTGAAACACCATCCATCATGACAATCCTGCGATATGAAACGTGTGGCAGTAGAAGAGACTGAAGAAATAAACCTCAGACACAAGGACCATTAGCGTCTAATTGCCCAGTTTATGATCAATATTCTCAATAATCTAGATGATTCGAGGATAATTCCTATACATATCTCTGAAATAAAAATGAGATGCATATCGCTGATGTGTAATCGAGCTCGGTTTTCCAGGAAATCCTGGCGTTTGACATCTCGTGTACCCGACTGACATATGAATCATTCATGTAAAAACCAGCTGAGAGGAAACAAAACGCCTCCAGGAACCTTGAGCTTTATTTAGAAGATTATCTGGCGAATGTGAAATTACATATTGCATAAAATTAATAAATTATTATTATTATTATTTCTCCTCCTCATGTATACACACACTGGCTCTATTTCCCTAAACAGAAACATGAAACAATCTGAAGAGCTTCGACATCTGATATCCAGATATTGCATGTAAAACTGTATTTGCAGTGTTCAAAGAACTCTATACCTGAGGGAATCAAAGACTGATAAGATATAGTAAAAAGTAATCTTTCTTTAAAAATAAAAAAAGGCATCATATACTCAGATTTTTTTTTTTGCAGTGGATCTCAATGGCCAGTAGGTGGAGCCACACCATTTCATTTGATTTGGTCAGATTTGGTTGACGTTTTTGCTTCAATTATTTAAAAGGCTTAAGAAATTTCACTGGCTGTGATTTGTAAAGACTAACAAAAGACCCACACGAAACCTAGATAGCGCACGTATGTTGTCGGGACGGTTTTTTTTCGGTCACTTTTAGACCCTTCAGCATCTGCAGTACACTACAGGTCAAAAGTTTGGAATAATTATGATTTTTAATATCTCTATTCACCAAGGCTGCATTTATTTGATTAAAATTACAGTTAAAACAGAAAAAAATGAAATATTATTAGAACTGAAAATAACTCTTTTCTATATGAATATATTGTAAAATGTAATTTATTTCTGTGATGCGCAGCTGAATTTTCAGCATCATTACTCCAGTCTTCAGTGTCACATGATCTTCAGAAATCATTCTAATATGCTGATTTGCTGCTCAATTATTGGTACTCAATATTTTATTTCATGATTCTTTGATGACATTTGTAACATTATAAATGTTTTCAACATTGCTAATAATCCGAAATGTTTCTCGAGCAGCAAATCAGCATATTAGAATGATTTCTGAAGATCATGTGACACTGAAGACTGGAGTAATGATGCTGAAAATACAGCTTTGATCACAGGAATAAATTACAGTTTAACAGATATTCACACAGAAAACAGCTATTTTAAATTGTAAAAATATTTCACAATTTTGCTGTTTTTACCGTATTTTTTATTTAAAAAATTACAGATTTGAGCAGAAGAGACTGCTCTAAAAATCTGAATTATTTGCTAGTGTTTGTCGTTCCTGTTGTGTGTTACATTCACAACATTTAAGAATTAATTTATACATAAATATGACATTTAAAGCAACATACGTGCGCTATCTGGGAAGCACACGCACATATAATCGCGCATTCTTACCGTTAATTACTGTTACTCTTAATATCTACTGATATTCACTGAATTGTAAACAGAAAATACTCAAAGACAAAGTCGTAATATCTATATATACTGTAGTCTTATTCTATAACTATAAAATAAATGTCAATACTGTCATCTATACATGAATCATCAGAACCTTTAGCCAAATATAAGAGTAAATATGCAGAATCAGGTAATGTTTATATACTACAACCAGAGTAGAAACTAAAGCTGCACGTACAGCGTTATACATTTATATATTCCCATTTACATAGAGCTATATCATCTGCTTTTAGACTGTATTATCAGATAACAAAAAATACAGTAATTACAGTACATAAATAATATAAGAAGTGCTATCAAATATTAAAAACTAAAAAAGAAAAACAACAAAAATAAAGACATATAGGCCTACCCTTAATACGCAAGAAAAGAAGGTCCATTAGGGGCCGCCGTGAGTCCGACTCACAGCGCCGTCTCTTTAAGGTCATTCAGGTTTGGCAAACGTGAACGAAAGTGGCGAGCGAAGCCGTTGGGGCCTGGTTTGGAGGTCAGCTGGTCAGGATACGGGTTTCCCTTGGGACGGTCCAGAGCGTTGGAGTGCCAGCCGGACTCCAGGGGCCCCGGGGCCCCGTACGCAGTCGAACGGCCCTTGGGCTGCATGGAGCTGAGGCCGCGGGGCTCCACGAAACTCCCGCCGCCTTTGGAGGAGGGCAGGGGGTAGTGGAGATCTGCCGAGGTTTGGTTGGAGGATGAGGATGAGGAGGTGAGATGAAGCAGCTTCCGCAAAGACTTCAGAGGCTGAGAAAGAGAAACAAGGCTTTACTGTACTGATGAAAACTACAGCACAAAATGTTCACTGCATTGTTTTCAGATCATTTGTGGCCCTGGACCACAAAACCAGTCTTAAGGGTCAATTTTTCAAAATATGGAAGCTGAATAAATATGCTTTCCATTGATGTATGGTTTGTTAGGATAGGACAATATTTGGCTGAGATACAACTATTTGAAAATCTGGAATCTGAGGGTGCAAAAAAATCTAAATATTGAGAAAAAAGCCTTTAAAGTTGTCCAAATGAAGTAGGAAATTTACAAAATATCTTCATGGAACATGATCTTTACTTCAAGGGTTAGTTCACCCAAAAATGAAAATTAGCCCATAAATTACTCACCCTCAAGTCATCCTAGGTGTATAAGATTTTCTTCTTTTATATTAAAAATTGTCTTTGATCTTTCAAGCTGTTTAATGCCACTCAGCGGGTGTTGCATGCATCAGTCCAAAA